GTCTCATATTATATGAATAGACAGGGAGAAGCCAGGTCAATTCTGCTCCCTCAAGAGTTTTTCTTCATCTTTAGAGCAGAGCAAACACCAGACTTCCTCCCTTACCTCAAGTTAAGCATCTGTAGGGCACCAGAGAGTCACAGAGTGATGCAGGCCCTCTGGCTCTGGAAATACATTAATGAGTCAGTGCCATCACCCCTCCTACGGCCCCTGCTTTGGAAGTTCTGCTTGTGCCCAGAGCAAGGTGTACAGCCTATTTCTCAGGTGTGCTGGAACTGACTGCTAAACTATTTGCCCTGTGTGTGTTAGAAACCATGACAACACTAAATTCATCCGGAAACAAAGCATATCCGGCAGTAAAAACTGCAGTTTGCAATATGGATGAGAGGTTGGAATATAAGGCTTCACTCTGCACTTTGCTGGAGAGTTCCCTGACTGCACGGCTGTACCCTAGGTTCAATCATGTTGGTAGAAAAGGAAACAACAGTTCCTCCTACCCATCCTTTCCCAATCTCAAGTTGTATCACTGCAGAAAGTAACTTCAGTTACTTAAAACTTAAAGCTTTGCTTATAAGTATAGATCCATGGAAAGAACAAGTAAGAAGGAACATGGTTTGGTAGTCCACTGGAAGTGTGGGGATTGAGGGGAAGAAAATTTTTGTTTCCTATGTAACATCCTAAGAAAAACACTCCAAACGGAAACACAGCTGTTCCTTTCAGTCCTTCATGAGGGCTTAGTCCTCTAAGAATGGGCCTATCATACACTTCTAGTTGGAATAGTCAGGTTTTAAGAGCTTTACTGTCTGAGGAAGCTAGGCAATTTGCAGCACACTGGGGACCCAATGATCACCTCTCCTGTGAACACACACCATAAGCTGAGAAAAATTGCGGGAAGTGCAACTTTCTCTAATTTGCAGTTGAAGAACTAAGAACATGGAGCAGTCTTTGTGCAGGTCAAAGAGAGTACCAGTGGCCAATTTGCATTTGAAGTCCCTGCAAAATAAATGTTCCTGTGGACAAATTGTAATGGTCAAAACTGTGCAGACAAAACCTCGTGAAGAACTAGTTAATGTATGTAAGCAACAGTCTTCAGCTACTGGCTGTTTTGGTTGTTTCCCTGTTTTTGTTTTTATTTTACAGCTGGAGCCATATTCCATAAAATCCCTTTTCACAACATACACCAGATTTCTAGCATCATAGGATGCTAGAAACATATGGTTAATTCTGGCAAAATATCAACAGGATTCTAGGGGTAATAATTCTGCATAAAAACAGAGAGAGTCATCCAATGTCTTAATGTAATATTTATGATATTAATTATTCTGAGATTACTGTAACATTTCACCAGGTACAGTTTTCTATGTTATGCTTTCTCTTTCTTTTTCTTTCTTTAATTTCTGATTGTTATTTTGTTCATTTTATCACTCCTTTATTGTGTAATAGAAGCATTTTATATTTCAATTTGTACCAACATTCACCATTACTTATTTTTTATGTTTTTTTTTTTTTTTTTTTTAACAGAAGTAATAAAAAGTTTAAACATTAAGGAATATCAGGCAAAGCCTTTCTTCTTGTTTCAGGGCTGAGAGCAGATTTTGGTAGCGGTCAATGTATTAGCAGCATCTAGAGACAGCTTTCAGTGTCATTTTCTAGTATTTGAATTGCTGTAATTCTAGGCCATGTGGAAAAGCCTCACTAAGAACCTGGGATCACCAGGAGCCAAGGTTTCAAATGTGCATGTTTCCAGTTACACGCTTCAGGCCTTCCTCAGGTGCCTATCTCGCTTAGTTCAGTCCCCAGAGCATCAGAACTGCAAATGAATGCACTAAGAGCTTTTGATGATCAGCACCAATGAAATTCTGGCATCTTTTAGACTTCAAGTGTCAGCTTTGACTCTAATAGAAAATGAAGCACAGAAACAAAACCTGCTCACTCCTATGACAGCACCATATTCTTCCTCAAGGCGTCTTCCCAGACAAAGATTCAGAGGTCATAAAATGCTGTTCCATGGGGGATGGATGAGGTCTCAAAATCCCTTTACATATGCAGGGGAGAAACCACTTTACTCCATTACCGCACTATTCCAAAAATGGAAATTCCCTCTTCATCTGAGAAAGTACAGTCATCCTTCTGTTTCTCTCCATGTCCTTTGTACTCTAGCAAAAATCATTGAGAAGTAGTGGGAGAAGTAGAGAGTAGAAAGAATTTCTCCTAGGAGGGGGACAGAAGGGTGGGAGGGAAGATAAGGTAGGTAGGAGTGACTTGTTTTCCCTCTGGCATAGTAAACAGCTGCAAATTCAAGAAAACACAAACAAAGGAATATCTCGGGGGGGATTACTGATATATTACCTCAGAAAGTAAATTTTGAACTGTTTTCAATAACCAGTACCATGAAATATGAAGTGCCTGGGACTCTCTTAGGTGTGGCAAAGGAGGTTAACCTCTATGCTGTACACTACAGCATAAAGGAGCACTGCTTATACAGATGACTGTGAAGAATCTTGAATTTATACTCTCCAAGTCAACGTGGCCAATGGAGAAAACATTTTCAGTATTTGGCTTACTTAAACAAAAAATTAGAAAGAAAAAAAAAGTGCCACCTTTTATTTATTCCTTCAGGAACACATAAAACCAGCTTCTGTTTAGAGGCAAGCCAAATACACTTAAGTAATGTATATAATCTTAAGCAAATAAATATAGCTCACCTCTCTGTTAATATAATTAACATTGCCTATTAACTTAGACAGTAATGTAATCAGGGAAAATATGAGACAGAGTCTACTGTAAAACAGACAATAAATTGTGGAAAATAACTGCATGTGAGAAAGAAGAAAACAAAATGCAAAAAGTGAATATAATGTTATATGTCCAAATTCACATTTTAGAGAATCAGAAAGCCTCACAGCTATTAGCGTGCAAAGCTGAAAGAAGGCAATGGCAGCAAGCTGGCAGGTGACTCTTCCATGTTGGGGTTTGTATGTTGATGCCTCAGAGCATATGCTTGCCCAAGACCTGAGGAATACATGCACTGGGAAGGGAGTGTTATATGATGAAAGACAGGTAGACCAGTGATGGTTTATTAAGAAGTGCTGGGAGCAGAAAAATATTTAGTGGAGATGCGGAAAAGACCTCCACTTTTAATCCTTCATACTCAATGGAGCAGAGAAACACTCCCTTGGCTGGTGACAGCAAAGCACTGGCAATGTTGAGAAAGTCAAGTAGCCATTCATCATTGTGGCATGGGAGAAGTTGCATAAAGGATCTGAAAAGTCCTCCGAAGCACCCTGAACCCGGTCAGTAATTATGTCAAGCGTTTGACCCACTGAAACTACTATTAACCTCGAACAGAAACGCAGTTGTACAGCCAAACATTCACAATGCTAGTCATGTTTTAAAAGCTTCCAGTAAAGATGGCACAGGCCTATGAGAGGAATTTGCACATTCCCCCTCTAATCGACAGGATTCCTTCAACTCTTTGCAATCTTATCCCTTATTTTTTCCTGGGAACTTAATAAATGAAGTACTGTCCTCACAGATTTATTCTTTCTTATTATAGGAAATCTTGTTTGGTAAGGGTGGGATGGCCTATGCTACCTATTTCCTAAATGGTTGATTTAAATTTGTATAATTACAATTATCTTGACCATAAGTCGTAGTTTAGAGTAGAAAGAAAACACTCTGTTCTCCTCTTTTTCCTTTCAGACACATCAAGGACAAAGTAGCAACTGTCATAGAAAATGCATCAGCAGTCCCAAAGGGTTTTCCAATACCCTGAAATTCCCATGTCCCCATGTTTATGCTTGCCCATCTTTAATGCTGACACACCACCATCTCCAGCATTTCTTTGTGTGTCTCCATGTTTACACTCAAGGGATGCTGGCAGAATAAAGTTGTCCTTGCCCACACAGGATGTGATCCTAGCAGGCCAGGCTCCTCTCTGACTCTGAAACTGCCTAATGTCACTGAAATCGATAGAGTTATCCTCATTTGCAGCAGTGGGAGGCAGTGTCAGATCCTTTCCTTCCTTGGCAGTCTGCAGCTCTGGCTCAAAGCCAGGAAGGAGAGGTCTTATACTACAGGCAGTGAACTAGCACCCTGCTGTGGGACTAGTGAGCAGAGGGACCAGCTGGAACCCAGACAGGATGAAAAGAAATAATGAAACAGGAGGGATCCCCTCAAACACACACAAGAAAAGGTGACAACTCATTGTTGTCAATCTACTGATTTGGCCATCCTAATTCTTAAGACCCATAATCATTGATATGTACCATTAATAAATCAAAAAGGGGCGATAAGGTTTATTACAAGATAAATTTTTGAAACCAATGCTCTATCATTCCTGAATAATTTCACTGTTTAACTGAAATCAGTAGAATTACCCTAACATAAAACAGAAGTATTCTGGTGGTGAATTTAAACTTTCAGGTACAAAACACAAAAACAGGGGTGTAGCAGATGCCACATACACAGCTTAACAGGAGTAGACCCAGGACAGAAATAAACACAGTCCTTCTAGTTTTCTAATAAATTAACACAGGTGACTGTTTCTACTATTTCACTTCATATTTTGGTGGTCTCTAGCAAGATTAAACTCACTAACTCACTAAATGATTAATTAAGTATGTTCCTAGAACTTTTGGAAGTAAATTCTGTTTATAACCTTTATCTGACATCAGAAACCTTTCACGTATTTCAAATGACCTTAAATAAGTTAACTGCTTTTGCTCCTTCCCCTTTGCAGACCTCAGCACTGTGCTTTTTTAGCAGCATCTTTTCATTTTCTTTATGATTCAAGCAATACTGCTCACAAAAGCATATTAGAAATTAGCCCCCTACACATATTTCAAAGAAACCAAGCTTTCTGTATAACATCTGCCTCTCAGCTAGCCTCTCTTGGTCACCTGAATTGTGCCCTGGGTACCTACTAGTAATCAGAGACATATTTCTCCTCCAATTGTGCATTGTGATCAGAATAATCTTATCTCCAGTTCCCCACTTACCTCTTTATGATGTTTTAATTCAATCCTGACACTGCAGCCATGATGCCTTTCGGAGGAGTTGTATAGTGCAGTCGAAAGAAGACTTATGAACATGGCACTGTGGGATCAGCAGCGCAAGCACATAAGCTGTACCTTGGAAGTCAAATATAGGCTGCAGGGAAAAAATATATGTGGAAAGGGTATCACATAAGAAATCCACTTTTACAATTGCCATTCCTGTAGTGCAGCCACGGTAAGTGGCCTTCTCTTAAATCTTCTTCTGATTGTGAGGTTTTGATTTAACCATCACCAACCCAGACTCTGCCTCTATCAGGGTCAGTTTCTGGATTCTTTGTTGAGAGATTTCCTCTAGCATCTTTCATATAAGCTAGGCAGTACCACTAAATATATCAGGGGGAGAAAAAAAAAAACAACAAACAAGCAAGCTCACGGCCCACCTGACTCCTTAACTCAGTGTTTAACAAAAGCACTTCTCTTCTCCTTCTCTACCACCCGCTTCCACCCTTCCTTTGCAGCCATTGAGCGTGTTGCTGCAACAGGTTGGCAGCAGTGAAGGCAGATACCATGCAGGCAGAGCTAAACTAGCTTTAAACTAAATAGATCATACGCCCCTAACAGGTAAAGTTGATGTAGTTCTGAGTGTGGGCTTCTGCAGCACCTCCAGCCTAAGGTAAATTTCATGAGTTGCTGCGTCTTACTGTATTTGCACCTAAGCTTGGTAGTATAAATCTAGTTTATCTATGCTACCTACAGTAGGAAGGTAAATGATTGCTATATTGCACAGTAGCCACTGAAGCCCAGGCCAGTCTTCAAATTTCTCTACATGCCCTCTCTCATCACACACAACAAACCTATTGCTCAATATGTCTTCTGATCCTGAAGCATCCTCAGCACCCTACCTGCCCTGGGAGGTATGGCATTCAGATGCAATGGCAAGCAGACCCCAGCTAGAAGCTGATGAAAGACCTGGGTTCAACAACAGGATCTTCAGAATGCGGAAAGCAAGTCCTGAAATCATGGGCTGGGAATTTGGAGGAGGCTCCATACAACTTATGAAGGTTAAATTTGATTGTATCCTGTGAGAAAAGCACCAGCAGGGGAAGGACTTGGCAAAATGTCAAGCATAAGTAGAGACTTGATAAGGCTTCTTCTAGAAAATTAATCTGAAATAAGTTTGGGTTTCATTTCAGTGCTGAGAGAAGGTTAGGGTCAGTTTTTTCTTTCCTTCTGAAGTAGTGCCCTGATTCCTTCTTACATTTCTATAATAAGCTTCTATGAATTCCAATAAAATAATCACCTGCAAGATTCAGTTTTATTGCCCTAGACAAATGCATCATCTTTATTCCAATTTAGAAGAAGCATCAAAGTCATGTAGTCCAGATCCTCTAAAAAGTGGAACAGACATTTAATTTAACAGCAAGGCTTTTCTCCATCAAAAGGCTAGAGATACAGGTTTTTCTTAATTACAGCATATGGCAGAAAAAAAAAATAAACATACTTACTTCTGTAGTTTGAAAGTAGCCATCTCCCTCTGGTTATATGTACCTCAATGAAAGAATGCAATATAAATTCTGGAATTAAAAGAAATTAAAACATTGTCACCCCTCAGAGAGCTAATTTAAAGGCGTACTTCCTATCCAACCCAAGAAATGAGATACAGGCTGAGATCCTCTTCACCTAAAAGGGCTCAACCTCATAGCTTCGCATTCTGAGGAATGTCACAGCCATTTTATCTTATATTAAGTTTGTGGGCAGGCCTATATTATGGATGCCACCAGATTGTTGCTCAGACATAAGGTGCCTGAAGCTGTAGTTGTGGACTCCACCATTAACACTGACATAAGCATCATATATATCATCCTCATTAACTGAGTAGAAAAAAATACCAGGGAGAAAAATAAATGACATTTAACTTTTACCTCTGCTGAACAGCTTTTCCTTTGATTTTGAATCACACACATCAAGATAATTTTCAAGGAAGAAACACAAAGTAATCAAGGTAATGTTTGTCCTCTCATAAGGTGATCTGTGTGAAGGTCCTGACTACCTCTAGGCCTGAATGATAAGACCAGTGCCTGTGGTGCCTTTTTCGCATCAGAAAAACATAACGTTATACCAGTGCACTAATCCAGAGGCTTCTCCACTCTGAACACAGAAATAATTCCCTAAGAGTGTCAGCACAGGCCCTACATGTTTGACAGCACCTAATAGGTCAGATCAAACACCTGATTCCCTTTAGCTCTATTATTATCTGAAGTTGGGTGGCACAGCCAACAGATGGTTGTGGAATCTCCTTCTCTGGGGATATTCAAGGCCCAACATGTGAAAGCCTCTTTGTCTTGTTTAAGCCCCCAAATACAATGAAGTGTGTTTAGCCAGTGGTCATTCAGTCAAAGCACACACCTCATATACTAACAGCCTAATGCACAGGAAATGGAAGAAGACTGAACCTACAACCTCCCTTCCACTATGTGGAAACAGAACCTTACACTTCCCTGCATTGATAATCTGAAGTGGTCCCAGAGCCCTGAGGACAAACCTTAAGATGTCTTCCGGAAGAAGATGAGCTGCCATCCCTTATACAGTTCCCTGATATTGCTAAATCTTCAAGTAATGCTGGCAGTGCTACTGTAGAAATTCCTGTGGAGACAGAAAAGCCCACATTGTATTGGCCACAAATAGCTAGCCTTCACTGGTAACTTTCAAGGTCTATCCATGTTTTCAGAACTGAATACAGAGGCATAACAAACATATATATCATTCACTTTAAACCTTTATTAGGATGTTCTTTTCGTAGCTCTCCTGTTCAGTATGAATTTAGTGCTTTTAACGTTGGGCATTAATTGTTTCTCAATAAGATATCATCATAAAACATGCAATTTAGTGCTTCGTTTCTTCCAATTTCCATATAGGAATCAGACTGTTCTAAATTCAAGCTTTAATCCCCTTGGCCCTTCTTGTAGCTGGTGCTATAGACTATGAAGGGTTACCGACCCATAACAAATAAATTAATAAGCTTGTGTAATTATATTTGGGTCATTTTATTTCAATCCATGAAATCAAAGGCTCTGTTCATATTAGTACAGGAATTGCTCTAACTGGCCATTGGGGCTCCCTTGATACACCATCTGCGAATGCAACAAACTGGCACATGTTGGATAGAAAGAATCTGTGTACATAGCTAGTTTACGCAATATTTTCCATTACCTTTGCTGGGCATAGGCTTCAATATCCTGTTTCTATCCAGTATTTCTGTTTATCCTATTCCTCTTGGCCTCCAATACATTTTCTGGTAGAAGGACACGTTCTTTCTAACAGTTTGTCAGGTTCTTACTTGGCTCTCTTCCCAATGTAACACAACTCCCCATCTTCCCTCCCTACATCCACTGCCCTTGTTTCCTTCCTTTTTTCTCTCTCTGGGCTCCATTAGACCTCATGATCAGCTTAAATCGGAGGTCTAAGGAAGGTCTGCATCTTGCATTGCTTCTGTCCCCTGAAATCTAACTGAGCTTGTAAAACATATCATTTTCAGATCTTGTAATGAGGTCACAAAAGAGAAGGCTTGTAGGACTGACTTTTAAGTTCCTTATGGTCAATACCTTGAAGTCTGTAACCCTACAACATGGAGCTACAGAGAGGGTTCTTCCTGTTCCTGCTACATGCTTGAAAGTACAAAACAGGACAGTCACTCCATTTATTTACCCACCTCATAGGCTCATGGAAGATTATTTTGAAAGCTAGAGACTGTTTGGACAGTCTGTCAATTGACTGACTATCTGGTATCTCTAGAGAAGACAGCTGCATACAGCTACCTTGTGAGATAGGTCAGATGGCACTTTTGGGATGTGGATTACTCACATACCATGACAAGGAGGAAGAGGAGCAGGTGAGGATCCTAGCTCTGAAAGTAGAACTGGAAATGTCTCGAGAATGGAAGATTAGTTCACCGTACTGCTTATGAAGTATTAGCCAAAACATGGTAGAGACAAGCATCTACAGCTTCATGGACTTTGTAAGGTTAGCAGGACTACATGTGAATATGCATCAGCAACATAGCAACTTTTAGAGAGTGAATTGTTCTGTCAGTGACTATAAATGTGACATCCCTTATTCAATCTCTACGTAACAACTCTTAAAAATAGTGGCCCTTGGGTGATGGATACACAAAAAGAAAGATCACACTGAATGTGCCTTCTGCTTACATATTTCTCCTAGCATCTGCTGGGTGCCCTGCCAGCCTGAGGATATTGAGCTAGATGGCCCTCTAGTCTAGAAGAAGAGTTCCTATGTCCTTCTTAAGAACAATCTATGGGGAGTTAAGTTTCTGTGGCAGAATAATGTCATATCTTTTCCAACTACTTTCCATCAGAAACACCTCAATTCTGCCCTCAGTTAGGTAGCTGGAGTTCTTACGTGCTGCAGTGCAACTTATACTTGAGTAGCGGAGGGAAGAGCTTCTGGCATTCACAATTCCATATACTTTACCTAAACAGAGAGTGTTTACTTATCTGGAATTTTGGATTTAGTTGTTTCATGCAAAGGTGATTTTTACAAGGTGTAGCCATCTTGTCTTTATAAAGTTAGCAACAATTTTGGCACTGGATGTTTTGTGCGCGAGAAAACCACTGAAATAAAATATGAACCAGAAATGAAAGTAGCTGCCAGCTCCCAGCACAGCATCCCAAAAGTTAACTGCGTGTTCATAATCATTTAAGACTTAAACCATACAGAAGGTATTGGAAGAGGAAGAAGAAAAAAAAAAAAATCTAGCCAGTTTATTTCAAACTTTTTTCCTTAAACTTCTTTTCCCTTTGTGCCCAGCTCTTGCAAACACTGCAAGGCACAGAGGACTCCAGGTCCACTGCAGACCGGGCAGATCAGCCAACAGGGGGCAGCCAGAGGACAGGGATTAGCATCAGTGCCCTGACACCCCTTCATTTCAGAGCCCAGAAAAGCAACAGTCAGCCAGCCTACCAGGAGCCTGTTAGTTGGTCTCTGGATTGATTCATTAGACAGACACCTCCCTCTCTGGCTCATCCTTTCGTTATGACACAGGAAGATGTCAGCCTTTCATGGGACAAAAGGACATTCTTAGGAATGCAAAGGACTGAAATATCATCTCATACCCTGGAATGTTTCCAGGACACCAAGGATGTGCAGTCTCCTTAATCACAAGTCCTTTTTTGGTCCTGCTGCATTTTAAGAGACTAGTCTGACTCAAAGACGATATCAGGTTCGCTGAAAGTAGTCTGAAGGATTTGCATTTGAAAGCCATCCAGCCCAAGCTTAACCAAACGAGCCTTCCTTAAATTAAAAACAAAAAGAAGGGGTTTGCTCCACAGTACTCTCTTTTGCTTCTCAGCTTTGCCCTTGAGAGAGTACACTGCTGTCTGCCTCCAAGATAATATTTTTGGAAGGTACATTCCTTATATTTGGGCCGGCACAACTAGCAGACAACCAAAAGGACATGTGCAAGTTATTTCAGAAGGCTGTGTTTTTGCTCTGTGGTTGTAGTCACACAAGCACACCTCTGCTTCACAGCACCAATCCTGTGCTTAAAGCTGGTGCAGGGAAGACCAAATGAAACCAGGCAGCTTGGCCTTGTAACTGGGCCAGTCTCTGGGTCCCAGGGAAGATTAGAATGCCATGGCATAGAGTTGTCACAGTATAATATTAGAGGCCTGACAAGTAGAGGGTTTCTCATGGGACTACTTGTGGCAGACTCTGGAGCCAAACAGCTCTCACTTCCATCTCACACGTGGGATAGTTACATTTTAAATATAAATAAATGACAGATTACCCTCCTCCTCTTCCCTGTGAAACAAGAGAAGGGGTGAGGAAAGGAGTATTACCCTATGAAATCACTAGGACCTAATCTTTTCAAAACACTGCTACCAAAGTCACCGTACTCTCATTTTTCCTTTGTTGCCACGACTTTCCGCAGCCCCTTTTCACTGATTTCTTATGCTTTAATTTTAAATTCATATTTTCTGCCCCTGTTTATGAGATGCAACAATATTTTTCACACACACATAGCACCTTTTTTCTTCAGCTTTTGCTTCTAATCCCACTGTTTCTTCCTAGGCACCTTGTCTACCAACCTATTCTCCTCTAATTTTCTGTTATCAGTCACAATCTTCATATTCTTTGGTATTTCTAAGTAAAAAGACCTTTCCACATCTCTCCTGCTTTTAATTTTCTCAGACTCAATATAAAAATCTCATTCCTACCCCATAGCACTCTCCACTACTGAACTTCACGTTTCCTGACTTCTAGCTCAGTTATTTGCCAACACAAAGAGAGAGTAGGAGCCACAGGCATGTTCAGAAACATAGTGAGTAGGAAAGAAACTTTTAAGATCGTGGTATTTCAGCATGGATGAAACTTCAGTTCTGTCCCCATCATTAATTGTAAAGAAGATCTTTTCTGAATTACTATGTTTTTCAATTCTATAAACAAACCTTATCAAAAAGATTAAGAGATTCAGGATACATGTCCTAGTCAAAAAGCAATCAAGTCTCTTAACTGTTGATGACCTAAGCACATTTGGAGGATGGTTTACTTATTCACTTCTCAAACTGCTACATGGTAGCTGAGCCATGAAGAGGCATCAGCTTCTTAGAAACACGCTCTGTAAGCGAGTCCTATTACCTGCCTTAAAACTGTTCAGTCAGCCACGGATGTCATTCCAGTTCCTTTCTATTTTCTGAGACACGGTTTGGCTTTTCATATGCTCCCTTAAACACCTAAGATTTATGTATACCTGAAGAGACAAGCTTACTAGATTCTAGAGGCATTTGTTAACAACATTGAAAAATAGAAGTTAGATAACCAAGGTCCATCAACATATATGAAAGACGGAGATGCTTCTAGCCCCAGAAGAGTGAAATGCATCTTTCTTTACACATTGTTGCTCCAAGACAGAACATTTATTGTCCATCAAAGTCAATGGCTGTCCATCCACCTCAGTGGGTACTGCATTGGGCCTCAAATCAATAGCATGTTTCAGAAATTCTCATGAGAAAGAGCAGGAGCATTAGCAAAGCAGCACATGAATTAAAGCAGGCTTGATCCGCTTTAATGTGCGTTCTGAGCCTGGGGCCCAGTAAGAACCTTCTGATCACATAATCTGCCTATCTAGAGGATCTGTATATATACAATAAGATAATCTTGGTAATCAAGAGTGTAGATAATAGCATTATTATTTTATTTCCATAAATATTTGAAAAGATAGATTTTCTTCACCAGTGCAATCTGATAGGTAAAACTCCCACACTTGTTGGAAAAGACCTGCCAGAAAGCTGTGGAAATGTAATAGCAATAAAAACAAGTATAAAATGTCTCAGAAAGCAAAACATATAAAGTAGAAACATTTTGCCCACATGCATATTTTCAAATCCTCATGTGTAATCAAAAATCACTGAGAAACAACATACAGATAATAATGTTTAGTGATAAGTATCGGAAAACCATAATTATATTCACCAAGACCTTGACCACATACTGTAGATGTGTACCAGGAATCCTTGGACTGTGGTGGGTAGGGGCAGAGGCAAAAGGAGACTAGGGCATAGCAGAGGCAGAAGAGGACAACTCCTTTTGTCCAAGAGAAGGAGTGTTGAGAATATTAGGGCATCAGG